AAATATTTGGATGTCTAAATATTTGGAAAAGCATCGGCAAACACAAGAACTTTATCTTTGAATAGGGTTTTCTGTACATATTGGCTCAGCAATGGTTTACACTGTCTGGGAAGTAGTTTTATGGTTTTCTTACATCCAGCATAAAATGCTAAATATATTTTAGTTAGGTGGCGACAAATTAAACGTTCTATTGGCTGCTCCCTTCTGCAGGGGTCGCTACAGTAAGCAATCTAACATGAAATATTTTGCATTGTTTTATCCTTGATGCCCTACCTGTGCTCAAACCTGCAGCCTCAGGATTGCAGGTCCGTGGCACTGACCACTATGCCCAGTGTCGGATTAAAAGGAAAATATTTCATATACTGGAACAACAAGGTCTTATTTTCATTCAGTGAAAGTATCACATGTCAGATAAGGTAAGCAACAAAACTATGCTTCCYGAAAGTTTTCACATTTTTGTCTAATGCAGTTAGGATTTTGTAATGCACATACATGCTTTAAACTGAAATCTGTAACTTTTTGATGAGTGCTAAAAATCACTTCTTTCCTGTAACATTTTCTCCCAAACTACTTGTTCTAAGGCTGCTGAAAGCTTTAAGAGCATGAGCAGTGGAGTGAACACATTTTGTGGACTTGGCTAGGTTTTTCTAGGATGCACCAGCTGCTCGTGTACCTTTTCAAGATTTTATGTCTCACCAAAGGAAATTAAAGATCCAATCAGTTCAGCACATCAGAATATCACCCATCCATCTCTTAGATCCATTTCCTCGGTTTTTACACAGACCTGAGAGCAGAACTGTGTTCATCCCTTCAGGCTAACTCAAATACCCCACTCAAGTGAGGGCCCAGGAGATCAGTGAGCATGGCTTRAACTGATTTAACACACACCAAGCAGGAGTGGAGTGAAGGAATGCACTGTAACAGAACTGCTTATTGCAATACACAGCCTCACTTAATGAAGTGTTTCGAGAGGGGATTTGTGTGAAAACGGGGTGATAAGCAGCTATTAGATTTATGCACATTGCTTTCACTGCCACAGAAGTTCCATGACCACAACCATTTGGCTCTGTACTATAAACGTTGCATAAGTCTGTACAGAGTCAGAGCATAAGCTGTTCACTAGCTGGCTACATTTCACTGCCTGGAGGTTTCTGCCTCCCTCCTCCTTTTTTTCCCTCCTGTCCCCAGCTCCTTATCCCTTCCCTCCTGTTATGCGTCAGTGGGCCACCTGAGGCAGGATATGTGCTGGTGACAGCTTGAGGGGAGATGTTCTCATCCTTTCCATTTTAGCTGCAGGGTGGTGTAGAAAACGGAGAGTTGTTACGGATTAGGAATTTCACAGAGAGGAATTCCACTATGCTGACTTGCTACAGGGCCAGTTACTTTTCAGCAGTAACCCTGATTTCTTTGTTTTTTTTAATGCATTGATACATACTGATGACGTGAAATATGAAATACAGACATCTGAGGCACTTTTTGTCTTCATACAAATATCTTTTTAAAATCATAGCTATCCTCAGCACATAAAAGTAAGATATAAGAAATGGGTCATTTAACATCTATTGGACATAAAAAAGTGAACATATTATTGTTATGAAGCACAAAATTGCAGCAGTCAGAAGTCAGACCTGAGCTCAGGTGAYTGAAACTGTTTCATACTCAGAGAACATGGTGTTCATATACAGTAGCACTTTAACTGTTGGTCCGCAACAGAACAGATCTGTCTGTCCTGAACATGTCAGATTGTAAAGCTTTTTTCTTCTTGCACTGTATTAATAACAGAAATTATTTGAGCACCTGACAAAAAATACTGACAACTGTGTGTAGTTATTTCTTTGTGTCCTGTTTAAATTGGTCAGCTGAGTGACTTCAAAAAGGAAAACTTTGAAACATTTTAAAGAATTTATTTATTTGTTTTGACTTGCCATTTTGGTTATTTTGATTTAAAGCTCTGTTGCTTTATTGCAGAACCTAGTGACTTGTCAAGGTTTTATAAACTTTGTGGTTCCTCAGTTAAATTGTTTTTTCTTTTTCATGGGTCAGTCTTTTTTTAAAAATAAAAAAAACAAGATTAGCACAATCTGTGATGCTTTCACAACCAACTACAAACCAAATGTGTTAAAACAAAAACAAATCATACCATAAAGAATCAACATGTCTGATTAAAATATTATTTTGTTGAAAGTAAGCCTATCAGTATATTTGCTTTTTCAGATCTGAGCAGAGTATCAGGCTGACAAAGTTTCCTGTAGCTCTGCATCTAATTCAAAATTGAGCTTGTAGAACTATAGACATAAAGCAGGTGCTGCATTTTCCCTAGAAGAAGGGTTTGATGTCTTCATGTTATCACCAGCCTGCTTTGTATCTGCTTATTCTGCTCATTTATCTGTTTGGCATTCCAGGTCTGCTGCAACAGTCTTTCAACTAAATAACTTATATGTAGGTGCTGCATATTTTATTTAGTATAACTTTCTTGTAGATTGAAAGCAGTGGCTTTGCTTTTTTAAATACACATCAGTATGTGGTATTATAAGTCTGCTAAACTGAATAGATTCTAAAACATGCAGTATTGGATTAGATGCTCTTTTACATTAATACTGAGATAAATGGAGCTGCTGCAGACAAACACCCAGCCCCTCCTCTCTAGCATTTCAACACACGGACAATGACTGACATTCACACCAGCATAAAACTAACTCGTATTCTTTTAACCCTTATCTGGACTCAAATTGAAATGCAGTCATGCTCTTCAAGTGTTCATTCTTGTTTAAGATTGTAACAGTCTCACAATGTCTCATATGAAATGAAGCTCTCATTCACCTGCAGGTTTTGCTTTTGGAATCATTCAATGAAACATAAATCCTGTTTTTTTGCTTAGTTTCTGAACACATTTAAAGCTTCCTGAACTTTTAGAAAATAATTTATTTATGAATAGTTGTTATGCTAATTGTTTTAGTAAAGTCTGTTTGGCAGTCTGTCCTGTGTATTCATTTATTTTTTGGGTTGAGACTGACAGACTGGTCCATCAGCAGTAAGGTGTCCTCTGTGGCACGTGGCTGGGAGCCTTTATCTGTCTCTTCATAAATGTGTGTGACTGAGATGATTAGGTTCTATTGGCCTCATGGGGGCATTTAGGCCTGAATAAGCCTCTTCTTTATGACTGTGCCCAGCACTTCAGATAGTTAAGCCAAGTAAGCACATCTTTCCCTGACAGCATCAGACATATTGTTGAGTCTCGTGTGTGTGTGTGTGTTTCCAATGTCTAAGAAATAAATTTACTAGTAGATGTTGGCCTGTAATAGTAGAAACACAATTACTGTTTTGTATCAGTGAGACTTCCTGGTATCTAAATAGCTTCAACTGCAGTCATTTCATCTCTGAGTGGCAGTGCTTCCAAGCAGAAATTGGCAAAACATAACATTATGGGAAAGTGATGGCTGCAAAACACAAATACTGCTGGGAGATGAGGGAACCTTTTCCTCCCCTCGTCTGTGCTTCAAGGTCCGGTACGCTGCAGTGAAAATCAGACAAATTCAGATGTGCTCTCTGGGAGTAACGGGATTCCTTTGACGGTTTTTCAGCTTGGTGCCAGGCTGAGCACACTCAGATGTTTTCAAACTCCTGAGTTAAATCTACAGGAGCAGTGTGATAGTGTGTGTGAGGTGCACAAAGCAGACCTTAAACATAGCCAGAATTTTGTATACTTTTATTTCTTTAAAGTATTAGTTAATCTGATCAGTAACCCGAGATTAAAATCCAAATGGTGCCAATTTGTTTTTAATACATTGATTATTATTATTCTTGCTTAAAGGGGAGGAACATAGTYCTATTGTGTACCACAATCAAGTAACCGTTACCTTCAGTTGTTATAAAAATGCTGTATATGTCAAAAATAAATTTCCCTAAATGGCTAGAAATTTGCCTCTGTTTCCTTAAGAACCTCTTACCTTTTCTAATGCTCCCACTTCAGCACCTCTTCACAACAATACTTCGGGGCGGGAGCTTGCCTGGGGACTGAGCTGCAGGGAGGTGCTTTGCGTAAACAGGCGGAGCTTTGTACTAGCAAGTGTTTAGGCAGCTCCACATGGCTACCATAGAAGATTCAAGGATTTCTCAAACATGAGAGAGTCAAAGCAACACTCTGGGCATGTTTTTGATGAGGGAATGCCATCATAACATAATAGAAAGCACAAAATAGTATTTTATAGAATTCATAATAGCAACCCTTTAAAAAGTAATACCTTGTGTACAGTAACGTGTGAAATACTAAATCTTTTTAGAGGTGTTACGACCCAGTGCCTCAAAGGGAAACAACATGAATGGGACAACCAGACAAGAGGCGGAGTTTGACTAAAAGGTTTTATTAAAACTAAAGGGCTAGTTGTGAGGGGACACCAGCAAAACTGCACCCATGCATCAGAGGGAGGAGACTCCTCAGGAGGATGTGGCCCACTTAAATAAGCTGTTCACACCTGCAGATGGTTGATGATTACAGGTGAGAGTTTACCTGCAAGAGACACACATACAGTCTCGTGACAAAAGCAAAACCTGTAAAATGTCCAGACTTTAAACTGAACAGTCATGTCAGATTTGCTAACAAATGTTTCAATTGATGTTTTGTTTTAGTTTTTTCTCTTCCGGCACAAATGTTTGGACTCAAGCATGACCTGATTAGATTCTGATTGTTAGAGGTCGAGCTCACAGTGACCTGGTGTCAATCACACTCTTATCGAGACTACTCCACTGGAATTTCACTCCCATCTGTTACAAGTTTCTTTTTAGACTTAAGCAACGCTGAAGTCGGGCTACACAAAAATAGCCATAACATAAACCTTACCCTAATCACGATAACGTGTCACAAATTAGAGTACATAATTAGTTGTTTGCATTTTATTTTATAATCAATCTGTTGGTGAGTCCAGTTTAAATATACAAGCAACCTAACATTAACTATGATGCAATCATTTTAGTTTTTCCTTATGTTCGTTTGATGTTCCTGTTTATGCTCTTTCTCTGCAGTAAAGTTTTCTCCTGCCTGTATCAGAGATGAGTGCCAAGTCTATTATCAACAAGGAGCTCTTCACACCTCATGATGAGAGGATGCTCGTTGCTGTACAGGTGAAGCGGAGGACAAAGAAGAAGATACCTTTTCTGGCGACAGGTGGTCAAGGAGATTACATGACTTTTATCTGCCTCTCAGGTAAGAACAAATACAYAATCTGACAAAATGAAAACAAATGTAATCATCCCTCCACCTATTATTCCATTGACACTTACAGTGAGCATGCTGYCAAGACGATACCAAGAATAAATTTAAAACTGGAGATCAGTTTTTAAATGGACTACTCTGTTTCATCTTCCATYTAAATATCCAATTTTACTCATGTATCATGTATAGGTGCAAAAAGGACCTTTGTAAGTGGCTTTGGTCCATTTTGATGATCAACACAAAAACAGTGGTTTAGTGTTACATCAGTGTGTTCACACAAAACAAACTGGTGTTAGACGGAATTAGCTGAGAGACGGTGTGGTAGTTTATAAGAGCACTGAGTTGTTTATCCAGCAGTTTGAGACTAATTTTTTTTATCTATTCAATTCATGTTAATGTTGTGAAAGATTAGCTGATGTATTGCCTGTTAATTGAATCAAAATTATTTTCATTCAAAAAGCATTTGGCGCTTATTAATTTCAGTGCCAGCAAGTTTCTGAATATGCCATTTTAATACACATTAATTAAATTTGAAGATTGCCTTGTAGTAGAGAAGCAGCTTCCTACCAAGGTTATAATTGTTTTGGATTTTTCATTATAGTTTAGTTTTATTTCATTGTGACTTTTTTCTTTTAATTTAGTTAGTTTTA